CAATGAAGCAGCAGGGGGAGCACTGTCTGTTAGCAGGCTTAAAATAAACTAAATTTAATAGACTAAATTCAATTTTGAATTGAACTTAACTTTAAATCTGAAACGTTGTAATAACTTTTATAAGTTATCTTTAAAATTGATAAGAACACTTATGACTAAATTTTATTAATAATTGTTATTAAAATGATAGAGCCATGCATAAATGAACCATTAATGAAATTAAAATTTCAAAACAATGAAGTTGGTTAGAGTAACATTTAATGCAGTTTATCATTAAATTAAACAATTATAATTTATTTAATCAGTGAGTCTTATCCGTATAAATCAACAATTATAGGAAATGGGTGTTCCTAGATGTTGATGAATGGAAAAAGTATTTATACTTGTACAGGTCAGAGAGCATTAATTTATAGTCATGAAAACAAAACTATAATTCATCACTAATAAAACCAACAGCTTATGTGAGTTCAAACTGATTAAATTCAACAGGCCAGGTACAGCAGGAAAAACAAAAATAAAATAAAACAGTAGTGATTAAACTCAGCAGTTAGATTGTGCACACTTTGATTTACTTTGCGTTTGTTAACTTTTCCAAGGTGAGTAAAGAGAAATAACTGAGATGCAAGAGTTATTTCAAACATCAGCCATACAATGCATTTAAGACCACTAAATGCTACGTGCTATCTATTAGCCTTCGTTGCTACTGGAAATGCATAGACTTCAATGCAAACGCGTTAGCGTTAGTTTAGCTTAGCTTCACGCTATGCTCTTTGTTTACAATCCAAGCTGGCGCTGGCGGACTGCACATGCGCGCTTGAATGTAATTCCGGCAAGTCTCTCTGTACTTCCGGACCAAGGTTGCTGCTATGGCAACGACCACAAAGTGGAATAATAGCAAATTTCACAGTATCACTTGAGATGGCGGCGCATCTCACACTGTTCAAACAAAAAGCACTAGTTAGATTTTATATCTTAACAGTACTGAACGATTCTCAACTTATGAAAGTGAGATAAAATTAATCAACAGGATTTCTGAGATTAATACAAATCGTGACAGAGATATGGGGGATCTCAGCACTCTGTGTTAAGTCTGTTTAGACTGCAAACACAACCGTGGATTCAAACCACAATTTTAATTGATCAATTTTAAAACTTCTCCTATAAACTACGCTAGTCAGCTCTCTCTGAGCTCCGCGTTTTAAATAATTTGCTAAGTATTAGCAAATTACAGGGCAACAAGAATTTAGTTAGCTATGCTAAATCAGTTACCAGGAGAAAACACAGCTGAGTTTCCATCCGGGAATCGCGGCGTACGAAATCATACTGTGAAGGCCTTATATAACGTTATGAGATAAGCACAAAGGAATACGCTTTGTCTTTCTCTACATGCGCTTTAGAGCGGCTTACAGTTTGTCTCGGCGGACAATTCAAATGAAGTTTTACTTTCTTAACAACACTAAATGTAGTCAAGCAATAAAACAAATGGTACCACAATGAAATTGTGCAGTAGCAAATCTTTTGTTCCCTCTAATCTATTCTTTCCGGACAAAAATAGAAAAGATTAACAACGTGATTTCTGGGTTTTGTGCTTTAAAAGTTAGATCTGCTTGCCCGCATTCTCCACCACTATGTAAGAATCAGCTCTTTGGTTTAAATCATGTTTAAACTTTGGGGATTCGAATCAAAGATTCGAACATGATTCACATAGAATTATTTAAAGCTTACACTTAACTTAAGTATTTGTCCGGCAAATAGAACGTTTAGTGTAAAGCAATCCTGTATTATATTATTACGTGGCCAACAATAACAATATAAAAACAGTATCTAATTATTTAATAAGCAAGGTAGCAGTATCTGAAGCTGAGGCATTAACTTATAAAGCACACAACACACCAACACGGATCTTAAAACGAAACAAAAGTTTATTGCTACTCTATAACACAAAGTACTAATCTACGTAAAACAAACAAATGCACATACATACACACACGCACAAGCAGTTTGAGGAGAGTTTTGACTGAGTGGATTTAACTTCTAGCCTTTGCTAAGTTCTTAGCATTGCAACCTGAGAGAAACCATAAAAGCAGAGAATTTCGCTATTCTTTACTACTTAAACATAATTCACACCAGAGTCAGCAATGGATAGAAACCTTGTTTGTGCTACTTGCGTTCTGATGTAATTTGGTTTCCTTGACTGGTCCAAAGGGAAATCCCGGCGAAGCTGATTGGTCAGCGTAGCAACTTCAGTGACGTGATGGAATTCCCTTGTCGGTGAAGAGGGGTTTCCTTAGTCGGTTGCTAGGGATACGGATGTTGGACAAGGCGGCGTTCGAAGTCCTTCCTGGGTTCCTGTAGTTAGGATGAGTTTCAGAGTTTGGATGTGTTGACCCGATGGCTTGTTGTTGAAGCGGTTGCACAAGCAGATCGGGGGTCGAGCCGGCAGCAAGTGAAGGTCGCGGTCTGCTCCGTGATGTAACGAGGCTTCCGGCGAGGCGATGTAACGGCCACAGCACGAGAAGAGCGACGTCCGGGCAGCGACGGCGGTGACGACTGGCAAAGATGACCGGCAAAAGACGACGATGAAATTTCTTTGTTCAAAGTTTTATAGGCTTTGGTAGAGGCTGGGTCTACACAATGCTTGTCCAATCAGATAAGGTGCGGGGTGGAGTCACACCCCAATTCTGCCCTCTAGGAGGCCGGGTTGACACCTGGTGTGGGTGCTGCTTTGATAGCATAGTGGTTAAAATAAAGTCTTATAACGTCAACACTTTTCATAGTATGGTTTCTTCATATAAACCAATGCATTTAAAATGTTCCTAGCTTTCAATCGATACCAAACAAAGTATTTCACAAACATTCTGTAGATTTCATTTGTCACTGAGGGCTATTACTCAAGAACTATCTATAACAGTTTTGTTAAACACATGGAACATGTACACACAAAAACCTACAGAAACATAAAGTAAACATACATTACTCAAATAAACTGTTTTACTTAAATGTCCATTAAACTTTGGAAGCGTTTCTGATCGCTTCTGTGTCTGCCTGAGAATGTGTATTCCTTGCAGACGCCAAAGGACAAGCGAACCAAAAGGTACTTCTCAAAAACCGGTTTGGTGGGTTTTTGATTGTAGAGCCTCTTATTGTTTTAGGGTGTAAAGTTAATTAACACGCAACTGTGATGTTGACTGGCTAGGTATCCTGTGGATTTGCCTTTTGCTGGGTGCCTGTGGATTGCTTTGAAAATGAAATCAAAGCTCAGACATTTAGGCACCAACCAATCTTTTAAGGATAACATGGTCTGTGGCTTGTTCGGTTCTGGAACGATCCGTTGACTCCCCACAATGAGCAGGGCGAGATGTCATTCTTACCGGTAAATGCGAAAGTGAAAGCATGCTGAAATATTACAGAGAGCTGTTTATCCAGCCTGATCTCGGTTTATCCGTCAGGAAAATTGACCTAAATTACTATCTGTTAATTTTTCCATATTTTAATCGTATAATATGTTGTATTAGGCCTGTTGTTTTGTTCATTTACGCACTGACAGCTCGAAAGAAAGATTTACATTGATCTGATGCAGTCTCGGTTCATCTGCTATGTCTCTCTATAATTTAAGCCTATAATGCAGAATTCTAGCCAACGTTTCTTTAATAGATTGATTAATTCAATAGATCGATTTTTACAAAACCTGACAATTGAAATGAGGCTCTGTATATATGAGAAAGTCTGAACTCTGCTTATTATTCGGTGACGATGTCTGTGGGTTGTTAAAATTAAAGTGCACATTTTTGCTTCTAAAATATTCTATACACAACTGGTCAAAAGTTTGGGGTCAGTATGATTAAATATGTTAAACTAAGCTTCTTCTGCTCACCAAGGCTGCAATTATTTCATCATAAATACAAATTATGAAATGTTGCACTATAACTGTTCAAAAGTAGTTTATCATTTAATTTATTTATTTATTCCAGTAATTTTAAAGATGAAATTTCAGCTTCATTACTCCAGTCACATGATCCTTCAGAAATCACTAATATTAATTATTATTATATTTATTAATGGTAATAGTAATTAATAAAAGCAATAATGTCTGGAGTAATAATTTTATTTGAAGCTACATACAATAACAAAGCAGTTATTTAAAATTTTGATAAATATTTAACAATTTAACTTTTTTTACATTTAATAAATGTAGCCTTGATGAACTGAATAAGTTTTCTTAAAAACATTAAAAAATTACTGTAAATATATATACAGTGAAAGTCAGAACTATTAGCCCCCCTTTGTTGTTTTTTTTCTCTTTAAAATATATCCTAAATTATGTTTAACAGAGCAAGCAAATGTTGATAGTTTGTCTGATAATATTTTTTTCTCTATTATTATTTGTTTTATTTTGGCTAGAATAAAAGCAGTTCTTAATTTTTTATGAACCATTTTAAGGTCAAATTTATTACCCCTTAAGCTAATTGTTTTTCAGACTGTCTCCAGAACAAACCATTGTTATACAATGACTTGCCTAATTACCCTAGCCTGCCTGGTTAACCTAATTAACCTAGTTAAGACTGCTTCAATCTTTTACTTTCCCACTAGTACTTAGTCATTTTAGCAAACCCCTCAGATACTGTTGGCTGGTTCCTGTTGGTTGTGCAACTTTTTTTACCGACGCCATAATAATGACACAGATCACTGCCTATTCACAAGAAAAAAGTGATTGACAGGTGGTAATTATGTGTGTAACTTGCCTTTATTCATTTACTGTAAGATTTGTTTATGGGTAAAACAAAGACCATACAGGTCAGGTAGTTTAAACAGTAGGCTACAAATAATAAATTTTTCATTAATTAATTAATTATTCATAATCGAAAATCGAATTGAATCGTGACTTAAGAATCGAAAATGTAATCGAATCGAGCATTTGGAGAATCGTGACACCCTTGTTAGTAACCCTTTTGCTCAATTTAAGTAAACATATACTAAAACATTTTTTTTCCCTTTCTCAGGTGGCAATAAAAATGATTGATAAAACGCAACTGAATCCAACAAGCCTTCAAAAGGTGAGCTTCACATTTATTATTAAAATGTGCATCTTATGAGTATTTAATGTAAAACAGATTTTTTTAAGGTTGGTGATTCTTTGGTGCTGCTAGCTTTATATATTTTTTTTCCACAGAAAGTTCACATTCTGTTTTTTTCATTACGGTGTATATTATGTTGTTCATGGCTTGGTTGATTTATTGGTGGTGCAGTTCCACAATGATTCATAGGCAATGTTGGCAGTCAACTTCAGTTTTAAACAGAACACAGACTTCAGTGCTGATCTTTTGTGCTACCCAGAGCACTTCTCAGAGGCTTGTGTCATGCAAAAGGAAAATCCTTTCTTTCAGCTGGTTTTCTCAGTCACCCATCAGTCTATTGAAAAAGTAATGAACTTTACACCTCAAGCACAAATACTGAAATACACTAGATGTGCAGCAAAAACCTGCCCACCAACTGCAGGCAACAGCGCCACTCAAGCCACTCTTTACTGAAAACTGTATATATACAAAGTGGGCAGCACGGTGGTGCAGTGGGTAGCACAATCGCCTTTAAGGGTGTCACGGTGTCTTCGATTATCGAATCAAAAAATAGAATCGTCGATGCTGCCACGCCCCCATGTCACGTTAGCTTGGCTTGCCAAGCGGGAAAAAAACATGCTTGATGAAGTGCTTGTTAAACTGCAGACGCAGGAGACCCGTTGACAGAGCTTAAATCCTCTCTTCTTTCAATGAAGGTGTGGAAGTATTTTGGATTTCCAGTTAGTTATGTTGACAACGTTCGTGTTGTCGACAAAAAAAAAAAAAAAAACAACGCAGTTTGCAAGCTCTGCTATGTACGTATTACGGTTGGGATGATAGATGATGGGCGCATCGCGATCCTCCGCCCCCGCACCCGTTGCAAATCAGTAGACTGCTTCCATCTTTTACTTTCACACAAGTACAAGTACTTAGTCATTTTAGCGAACACCTCAGATACTGTTGGCTGGTTCCTGTTGGTTGTGCATCTTTTTTACCGACGCCATTATAACGACACAGATCCTGCAGAAAAAAGTGATTGACAGGTGGTAATTATGTGTGTAACTGACCTTTATTCATTTACTGTATGATTTGTTTATGGGTCAAACAAAGACCATTCAAGTCAGGTAGTTTAAACGGTAGGCTACAAATAATTTATTCGTTATTAATTAATTAATTATTCATAATCAAAAATTAAATCGAATCTTGACTTTAGAATCAAAAATGTAATCGAATCGAGGATTTGGAGGATTGTGACACCCTTAATCGCCTCACAGCAAGAAGTTCTCTGGTTCGAGCCCCGTCTGGGTCAGTTGGTGTTTCTCTGTAGAGTTTGCATGCTCTCCCTGTGTTTACGTGCGTTTCCTCTGGGTGCTCCTGTTTCCCCCACAGTCCAAAGACATGCGCTATAGGGGAATTGGGTAAGCTAAATCGTCCGTAGTGTATGTGTAAATGATTGTGCAGAGATGGATTACAGGTGGAAGGGTATGCGCTGTGTAAAAATATGTTGAATAAGTTGGCGGTTTATTGCGCTGTGGCAACCCCAATTTAATAAAAGCATTAAGCTGAAAAGAGAATAAATGAGTGAATGAATATAGAAAGTGTGGGGGAATATGGGATCATTACAGGCTGTCCTTGGTACTGATGCAATTATTATAGCACGGATAACTTGCACTTTACTTATTGATGTCATAAAAAACAGTGGTAACACTTAAGTTTAGGTCCCATTTCATGGGTTAAAGGTAAAAAAAAAAAAAAAAAACAGTCACTGTCAAATAAAATTAAAGAAAATATCTACACGCAAATGCATAAATTAATACAAAATAGTAACTATGCTTGTATTAATATCAGGGATTTTCCTGCCTCACAATAAAGCGGAGATATATGTATATATATATATATGTATATATATATGTATGTATGTATATATATATATATATGTATATATATATATATGTGTATATATACATGTATATGTATGTATATATGTATATATATATGTGTGTGTGTATATATATATATATATATATATATATATATATATATATATATATATATATATATATATATATGTATATGTGTGTATATGTATGTATATATATATATATATATATATATATATGTGTGTGTGTGTGTGTGTGTGTGTGTGTGTGTGTGTGTGTGTGTGTGTGTGTGTGTGTGTGTGTGTGTATATGTAAGATGTGTGAGGGACCTCTGTAACTAACGGAGGATAACTCTATACAAAATGCATTATATAATATCTTCATTTTGATAGCCCCATCAAACATTCAGCCCAAATGCTCCAGAGAGACCTAAACCATATTGCTATTTCCATAGGATATATGACATTTAATAGGTAATTCCCGTTTATTTAAGAGAATAATTTAAGAATGTTGCTTATTATTTGGTTATCTTAAGTATAAAAAAAAAAAAAAAAAAAAAAAAACGTTGTGTTTCAGGACATAAGAGCAAGTAATAAAATTTAGACTATAGCCTAGGCCAGGGCTATTCTATTAGTTTGTCATGGGGGCTGGTTCGTGAAAAGTATCCCAAACGAAGGGCTGGAGAAATATGACTTGCTATATGAGTGATGACACAACTGCATATACAGTAAGAGCCCATATGCTGTATTTTTGCTCTTTAAGACACCCAAGTAGATTTTTTTCTGCATTAAAATTTTAATATATTGTATTTTGATGCTACATAACATCAGTGCATTGTACAATAGACTTTTATTTTTTTGTACAGACATATTCAAATGTTGTATTTCAGAGCACAACAAAAGCAGTGCATTACTAAAGTAGGCTTCTTCTACATTCAGACACATTTATATGTTATGTTTTGAACTGCTTAACAATTAGGGATTCAACAATTATAGATTTTGGTTGAACGAAAGTCTGAAGAATAATCATGATTTCACGGTTATCGCGTCTAATGTAAATTCAAGCTCTATATTAAGTAAGTAGCTATTTAGATTAACTGTTGTTGCCATCTGCGTTAACACATACATAATCATTTTAATAATTATTTGTCTAACTTATCTTTTTTTTTTTACCATGCACTAGGGCTGGGCGATAATTCGATATCGATAATTATCACGCTAAAATTTTTTCTGATAAAACGAAAATAACAGTTCGATAATTGCTCGATAATATTTATGCACTATATGCATAACATTGCGCAAGCATTTTGCAGCCTGCCCTTCCGGATGCCGCATGCCATACAAGTTTACAGCCATACAGTGTTAGTTGTACTTGAAGGAGTAAGAAAAAAAAAGGGTAAAAAAGGTCAGAGTCACAGACATTGTTGACAAGAAACGTCACTAGACCTCAGTCTTGAGCTACTTAGTTTTTTGCTAACTGACACAAAACAGCAACGTGCACTGCAAACTGCGCAGACGACTAGTGTCATCAAAAGCAGGCAACACCACAAGCCTGTTTCATCATTTAAAGAGCCCATATTATACATGAAATAGGGTCATATCTTGGTTGTAAGGGTCTCAAACAACAGTCTAATATGCATGCAAGGTCAAAAAACACTTTCATGGTCTTATAATCTGCATTTATTTTTACCTAATTATCCCAGCGACTCCCGTATGAATCGTCCAGTGATAGCGCGAAGCTAATCTGCGCTGATTGGACCGATGACAGTCTGTTGCGATTGGTCGACTGCCTTTAGTGAGAGAGTAAAATGCCCAACAGCTAATCAGCAAAATAAAAGTAATCACAGTTCATACACGCTCGATAGTGTAAGGCGTGGATTTTAGCTGCCAGTGGGTCAATGTAAATGCAGACGATGGACTTGAAAATACCGACGACTAACTATTTTATTGAGCAAAAACTCCAAAAACAGTTGAGGAGATCTTCTAGCTTGTCTCACTCTGCTCTTTTCACAGACACACACACATATTGCGCTCGTCCTTGCGCGAGCGCACACACACACACACACACTTTACCCTCCGCCAGACGTCAACGCGCGCGCATACACACACAAACACATGCACCTCCAGACGACAGCGTGCGCGCACACACACACGCACTACCGTCCTCCATGGAGCTCCGTAAACAAAGCAGCACGCGTCACGTTTTTAACGTGGCTTTGCACGCGATATGAGAATATAACCTTAAGCAGTACACGCGGTTACAAGTAACAAATCACAACTAAATACATTTGCAAGCTAGAGTAAACGAGGCAACAACTTTAATCGCACGTACTTACACTTGAGAAATGGAGGAAGAAACCCATCCTGACAAGTTACTCTTTACTGATCCTTCCTTTAACAAACGCCGATGAAGTATTCTTAGTAGCATGTAGTTTCCAGAAGTTTCCAACTTCTGAGGTTTCATCTTTGGGTAGAGACTCAATTAAATCCATCTGCAGTGTGACTTCAATCAACTGGCATGTTTGTGTGTGTGTGTGTGTGTGTGTGTGTGTTTGTGGGTGTGTGTGTCTGTGTTTCTGTGTTAGAGGGCGGGGCCGCAGGTTTCAAATCTCCCGGGTTTGCGCGTGCATGTGAATAACTTGGTTTCGTTAGTACGTCATGGCGAAACACCTAATGACTTGGTATCAAGGCAACTCGTTTAAAGCACTATGAGTCGACTCTTATAGATGAATCACCAGTTTTAAACACTGTACACTTACAGATTTAAGCCTTAGCTGGAGACTTCACTTAGAGCTGTGTTACAAACTACATGGAGGGGCATTTTTAAAAACCCATAATATGGGCTCTTTAAAACAACACCACCCTTATGAAGATGCTAAGAAATTACAGACCTAAACAAGTGCTGGTAAACTAGGACAACTACCCAGCAGAGTCTCATGTCATCATTTTCGAAAGCCGTGCCTTACGAGATAAAACCCCAAAAAGATAGACGAAAGATATGACAGACAAAATATCTCAATCACATCTCAATGAACACTTGAAGCTTGCTCTACAGGCTGCATTAAGGAAATTTACAATACAACATTTACACTAATAAAAAATAATATAATAAAGTAGCAAA